AGCGCAAGGATCTACAATCATGTGTAAAACTGTGGATAAAAGATAGAGAACTTGTAGCTTCATCAAACTCAGAAGAGTAACATATCTTTGGTGAGTAAGTTTGAATCTCAAGTTGAGATTTTGGATAAGAACGTGCGGAATGTACCTTTGAATCTGCGTTAGGATGGGTTTTTATTATTGTTTACAATTCAAGTGTTCTTTATATTTGTTTATAATTAAGTGATACTCAGAAATAAGATAAGGTCCACGACTACATTTTGATATAAATGTGATTAAGATTTTTGTTTGATTCACAGGTAAAAATATTTGAAAAAAAAATCTATTTATAGAACCGGAAGTGATTATGTGCATCAATGTTATGTTTTTTGACATGATTCAATGTTAAAATATGTATGGTATATCTGTTACATACAGTATTATATAAATAATTATTTACTCTTAATAGTTTTTCATGTCCAGTATAGTCAGATCATCAAAACTATCTATGACGTTCTTTCAATGTTCAGCGAGGAAAAGATAACAATATGGTTATTTTTTATTTACGTAGCTGTTGTAGGTATCATCTCCCAGAAGACAATATGTAATTAACCGATACACCCTTGTCTTGATACTCACTTTTGATCTTGATCATTATTAGATGTCAGTTATTAAATTTTTAGTTGAATTAAAATGTGCCAATTAATTAGTTGTAAGTTATTTGTAATGTAGGTGTAGATCATATGATGCAGTGTATTTAAGACAGTTAGTGAACAAACATATTATACATACATTTTTAGACATAAAACATTGAAACATCAAAGAAATTACATTTTGTATTGAGAGAAAAAAAAAGAAAAAAATGTAAACTGCAATAGTAGCAAGCTAAAGATAGATATACATTGTATATATGAGGGACAATTAGAGTTAAAGACCGGCCATTGTATTAATAGATTAAGGATTGCAATGAATTGCACATGTCCTTTTCTCTAGGAAAAAATGATGGGAATACAGTAGTTATCATTGTAGAGGTGTATTATGTTTGTTAAAGTATTTTTTTGCTGTCAGTTTGATCAGTAGCTGTCAATCATGATCTGTCTATGACATCAAATCCAAAACTAAAAAGCAAAAGTTATTAAATTGGATATAATTATTTATTAAATTAAAAGTTTGAAGGTAGATGGACTTGCAGAAATGTAGATTTACTTGAAACTTTGATTTTTCGCACAAAGTAAGAAAATCTCTGTTTTTCCACCAGTATAAATGTTTAAGGATTAAAATTGCATCATTAAGGATGATTCAAGGACTAGAAATCTAGAAATATCAACAAGACAAGCAATATATATATATAATATATCTATAACCATTTTTAGTAGAAAAAAAAACATTTCATTATCATTATCTCTTTTGCTACTGTGTCGGCTGGAGGCTTTTTTACAATTTGTTTGTAAATGAAGATATTTTATCCCCTTGTGATGATTATAGGGAATCTTAGCTGATAGAGGAACATGAGGCCTAGATAATTATAGGGAATCTTAGCTGATAGAGGAACATGAGGCCTAGATAATTATAGGGAATCTTAGCTGATAGAGGAACATGAGGCTTAGATAATTATAGGGAATCTTAGCTGATAGAGGAACATGAGGCTTAGATAATTATAGGGAATCTTAGCTGATAGAGGAACATGAGGCTTAGATAATTATAGGGAATCTTAGCTGATAGAGGAACATGAGGCTTAGATAATTATAGGGAATCTTAGCTGATAGAGGAACATGAGGCCTAGATAATTATAGGGAATCTTAGCTGATAGAGGAACATGAGGCTTAGATAATTATAGGGAATCTTAGCTGATAGAGGAACATGAGGCTTAGATAATTATAGGGAATCTTAGCTGATAGAGGAACATGAGGCCTAGATAATTATAGGGAATCTTAGCTGATAGAGGAACATGAGGCTTAGATAATTATAGGGAATCTCGGCTGATAGAAGAACATGAGGCTTAGATAATTATAGGGAATCTTAGCTGATAGAGGAACATGAGGCTTAGATAATTATAGGGAATCTTAGCTGATAGAGGAACATGAGGCTTAGATAATTATAGGGAATCTTAGCTGATAGAGGAACATGAGGCTTAGATAATTATAGGGAATCTTAGCTGATAGAGGAACATGAGGCTTAGATAATTATAGGGAATCTTAGCTGATAGAGGAACATGAGGCTTAGATAATTATAGGGAATCTCGGCTGATAGAGGAACATGAGGCCTAGATAATTATAGGGAATCTTAGCTGATAGAGGAACATGAGGCCTAGATAATTATAGGGAATCTTAGCTGATAGAGGAACATGAGGCTTAGATAATTATAGGGAATCTTAGCTGATAGAGGAACATGAGGCTTAGATAATTATAGGGAATCTTAGCTGATAGAGGAACATGAGGCTTAGATAATTATAGGGAATCTTAGCTGATAGAGGAACATGAGGCTTAGATAATTATAGGGAATCTTAGCTGATAGAGGAACATGAGGCCTAGATAATTATAGGGAATCTCAGCTGATAGAGGAACATGAGGCCTAGATAATTATAGGGAATCTTAGCTGATAGAGGAACATAAGGCTTAGATAATTATAGGGAATCTTAGCTGATAGAGGAACATGAGGCCTAGATAATTATAGGGAATCTTAGCTGATAGAGGAACATGAGGCCTAGATAATTATAGGGAATCTTAGCTGATAGAGGAACATGAGGCTTAGATAATTATAGGGAATCTTAGCTGATAGAGGAACATGAGGCCTAGATAATTATAGGGAATCTTAGCTGATAGAGGAACATGAGGCCTAGATAATTATAGGGAATCTTAGCTGATAGAGGAACATGAGGCTTAGATAATTATAGGGAATCTTAGCTGATAGAGGAACATGAGGCCTAGATAATTATAGGGAATCTTAGCTGATAGAGGAACATGAGGCTTAGATAATTATAGGGAATCTCGGCTGATAGAGGAACATGAGGCTTAGATAATTATAGGGAATCTTAGCTGATAGAGGAACATGAGGCCTAGATAATTATAGGGAATCTCAGCTGATAGAGGAACATGAGGCCTAGATAATTATAGGGAATCTTAGCTGATAGAGGAACATAAGGCTTAGATAATTATAGGGAATCTTAGCTGATAGAGGAACATGAGGCCTAGATAATTATAGGGAATCTTAGCTGATAGAGGAACATGAGGCCTAGATAATTATAGGGAATCTTAGCTGATAGAGGAACATGAGGCTTAGATAATTATAGGGAATCTTAGCTGATAGAGGAACATGAGGCCTAGATAATTATAGGGAATCTTAGCTGATAGAGGAACATGAGGCTTAGATAATTATAGGGAATCTTAGCTGATAGAGGAACATGAGGCCTAGATAATTATAGGGAATCTTAGCTGATAGAGGAACATGAGGCTTAGATAATTATAGGGAATCTCGGCTGATAGAGGAACATGAGGCTTAGATAATTATAGGGAATCTTAGCTGATAGAGGAACATGAGGCCTAGATAATTATAGGGAATCTCAGCTGATAGAGGAACATGAGGCCTAGATAATTATAGGGAATCTTAGCTGATAGAGGAACATGAGGCTTAGATAATTATAGGGAATCTTAGCTGATAGAGGAACATGAGGCCTAGATAATTATAGGGAATCTTAGCTGATAGAGGAACATGAGGCTTAGATAATTATAGGGAATCTTAGCTGATAGAGGAACATGAGGCCTAGATAATTATAGGGAATCTTAGCTGATAGAGGAACATGAGGCCTAGATAATTATAGGGAATCTTAGCTGATAGAGGAACATGAGGCTTAGATAATTATAGGGAATCTTAGCTGATAGAGGAACATGAGGCCTAGATAATTATAGGGAATCTTAGCTGATAGAGGAACATGAGGCTTAGATAATTATAGGGAATCTTAGCTGATAGAGGAACATGAGGCTTAGATAATTATAGGGAATCTCAGCTGATAGAGGAGCATGAGGCTTAGATAATTATAGGGAATCTTAGCTGATAGAGGAACATGAGGCTTAGATAATTATAGGGAATCTCAGCTGATAGAGGAACATGAGGCTTAGATAATTATAGGGAATCTTAGCTGATAGAGGAACATGAGGCTTAGATAATTATAGGGAATCTTAGCTGATAGAGGAACATGAGGCCTAGATAATTATAGGGAATCTTAGCTGATAGAGGAACATGAGGCCTAGATAATTATAGGGAATCTCGGCTGATAGAGGAACATGAGGCTTAGATAATTATAGGGAATCTTAGCTGATAGAGGAACATGAGGCTTAGATAATTATAGGGAATCTCGGCTGATAGAGGAACATGAGGCCTAGATAATTATAGGGAATCTTAGCTGATAGAGGAACATGAGGCTTAGATAATTATAGGGAATCTTAGCTGATAGAGGAACATGAGGCTTAGATAATTATAGGGAATCTTAGCTGATAGAGGAACATGAGGCTTAGATAATTATAGGGAATCTCAGCTGATAGAGGAACATGAGGCTTAGATAATTATAGGGAATCTTAGCTGATAGAGGAACATGAGGCCTAGATAATTATAGGGAATCTCAGCTGATAGAGGAACAAGAGGCTTACCAAGTGTTTGTACTCTAATAATCTTTTTCCAGGAGTTGAAATCCTCTTATCTCATCCACAAGGAGTTGAATGATTATGTATTAGTATTATTGATGTGATGTAATATTCTGAGAGTTAAATTCCCCCACCCCCATCATTCCCTTAGCCTAGCGACGACAATTCAGGTAAATATAAAAACTGACATGTAAAAGTATACCTGAATGTAGCTGTTAAAGGTAACTGTTCAACTGTTGTCGTTATCAACCCTGAGATCCATCCATCATTGAGGGTTTCAACACCTATCCTGGAACCGTCTCCAGAAGTTAGGTCAGTAGGATGATCCGTCCCGGCTCCCAAATTTTCAAGTGCGTTATAATCTATCATTGTTTCTAACAGGTAATTATGTTGAGACAATCTCCCCCAGCCTTGGTGATATCCAAGGAGGAAGATGTCGTGTCTCATGGTTATGTCATGTATGGCCTTGTGAAACCAGGAAAGGATGGCAAGTGTGTAGAGTCTGCTGCCGCCATGGTCAATGTCATTCCCCGTAAAAGGTAAATATTCTTTTGGTTAGTATAAATGTAATTCTACATAAACAGTAAATGTTGATTTCGTCCATCATAAATTTCGTCCATCATAAACAGTAAATGTTGATTTTATCCATCATAAACAGTAAATGTTGATTTCGTCCATCATAAACAGTAAATGTTGATTTCGTCCATCATAAACAGTAAATGTTGATTTCATCCATCATAAACAGGTAGCAGGAAACAGTTAATTTGCATTTTGCCTGAAATTATTTGTCATGTTTGAGATATACAGGTATAGCAGATTGGTTATGAAAAATACATCATTACATTTATATATATTTATAAACTACATAACAATTACATTAACAGTAGAGAGATGAAATTTGTGTAAAAAAAAATTCCTCTGATTTCTGACATTTGATTGTCATGGTTACCTACTGAAAAAATGCTAAAAATGCAAAAATACTGCTAATTCCAACCTAACACTACAACTTTCTAGAAGAAATTTAATTCTAAACACCTATCTTACAATCAACAACACTGTCATGGTAACAAAGTACTTACATTTCTGCAAATTCCAACTCGGAAAATCTTCGTAACATGACCACATGTAAACCCTATGAAAATTTCACTTCCTGTAAAGCTAGTTTTTGGTGCGTAGACACAGATTCCAGACTGCCCAAATAGTAATCTCCAACACAAAGCTAAAATATTATCTTGAAATAAATGAAACCCCACATTGTCCACTTAAACATGACAGGACCAATTTTAGCAAGGATTTTTTTTTTTCATTTTTAATTAAAACCTTTATAATGGGGTAATCTAATGAGCAAAAAAATCACCCATGGCCACACCGAGAAACTGTACTGCTACCACAGTAAATGTTGATTTCATCCATCATAAACAGTAAATGTTGATTTTATCCATCATAAACAGTAAATGTTGATTTCATCCATCATAAACAGTAAATGTTGATTTCGTCCATCATAACCAGTAAATGTTGATTTCGTCCATCATAAACTGTAAATGTTGATTTCATCCATCATAAACAGTAAATGTTGATTTCGTCCATCATAACCAGTAAATGTTGATTTCGTCCATCATAAACTGTAAATGTTGATTTCGTCCATCATAAACAGTAAATGTTGATTTCGTCCATCATAAACAGTAAATGTTGATTTCGTCCATCATAAACAGTAAATGTTGATTTCGTCCATCATAAACTGTAAAATGTTGATTTCGTCCATCATAAACAGTAAATAATTTATTTTCGAGGGAATAATTGTGATTCCCTGTAAGCAATATTAATTTATAATTATTCCAGTTTGTAGGTAGCTAAGATATGTAATTTTTAGTTCACCTGCCACAAAGGGCCAAGTGAGCTTTTGCCTGGCATGAGTCCGTCCATCTGTCTGTCCATCTGGCACCCACTTTTCTATTTGAAAGACTCCTTCTCAATAAGCAATAGGCAAAATATCGTGATATTTGACTGATAGGTTGCTGGGATAAAGAATGAAAAATCTGTGAAAAGATTGATTTTAATCCATATTCAAAATTACAGAGATCAAATTTGTTAAAATCTTAAAACAACTTCTTCAGATTGACCAAAGTCTGTGAACCATGATATATTGCTGATATGTCTCTGGGATGAAATCTGACAAAGTTTGTAAACAGACATGACCATGACCCTTATGCAAGGTCACAGTGATATAATTTGTTAAATTTCTGGAACGAAGCCTGAAAAAGTTTGCAAAAGAAATGACCTTGAGCCATATTCAAGGTTACAAGGATCTAGCCTGTCAAAATCCGTAAAAGACTTCTTTGTGTAAACCTAAAGTCTGAAAATCATGATATTTGGTTGGTAGGTCTCTGGAAATGACCTTGACCTACATTCAAGGTCACAAGTATTAAATCTGAAACCTTAAAACAATTTCTTCTGATTAACTAAAAGCACAGTTGCATGGTAATAAACTGGTAGGTTCCCAGGGGAAAGTCTAAGAAATACTGCAAGAAGAGGTGAATTTGACCAATAATCAAGGTTATAGTTGCCATATTTGTTATAACCTTAAAACACTTCTTTTGTTTAACCAAAGGCCTATTTATGAACATAATATTGGCTCTCAATGAAGCCTGACAACATTTATTAAAACAATTGACCTTGACCTGAATTCAAGGTCACAGGGGTAGAATTTGAAAGAAAAAAATTTAAACAGTTTCTTCTGATTAACCAAAAGATCTAGAAGCATGATATTTGGCAGGTAGGTTCTCTGTAATGAAGCCTGACATAGTTTTCAAAAAGATGAACCATGTTCAAGGTCACATACCCAGGTATGTCAAATCTATAAAAGACTTCTTCTGGTAAACCAAAAGTCTGAGAAGAAGAATGTCTGGTGGAAAGATGTTTCTAAAGGTCAAAGCCTAACAAATTTCGAGAAAAAAAAAGATAAAAGAAATGACATTTACCTTTCATCCAGGTCATAAGTGCCACTGTTTAGAGATGCATAGATGTAAGAAGACAAATTTGGTTGTGGAAATTGGTTAAGATTGATTGGATGTGCAAAATTTGCATGCCAAAGTTGCACATGTTAATATATTTGTTATGAACATTAATGTATTTTTGATGAACATTTAATACCATGAATGATACAGGCCCATTGTGCCTCTTGTCTTGTCACTTCACAATGCCAGAGTGGTTATTCATATTTTCATGTATGATGGTTATTATAATGTTAATTTTTGGAGACTCTTAACTATGGATGAAATTTAAGAGGAAATGTTGATGATTGTTTTATTCTGATTTTTTTTAAACATATGTATTGTTACTATCATCAACATTACATTATCTTTATATTTAGCTTTTGCTCAATATTTACATTTGTTACAAATGCAACGTTATAATTTTTCTTTTAGAATATATCGCATGGCGACTTTAGATGAACTGGACACTTTTCGGTCAGAACTTCTGAAGCGCCCCCTGGTGATTCAGCCAGTCATAGAAGCAGGAAGTGGAATACAGAAACTGAATTGCTTCTTCCGTGTTCGTAAAGGTAGACTTTGCCAATAAAATCATATTTATATAAATAGAGTAAAATAATCAAAATGATGATGATGACACAGGCTGCTTGTGTCACAAGACAAAATCAAGATTCATGATTCAGAAATACAGTAGGTTTAAGGAGTTGTTTATACTGGTGTAATGTTTATTTACAGAAAAATGGGTCATGATGCTGAATCAGAATCATTCTAAGATCATGGGACGCATCATGATGGGCATCGACACGGCAAAGACAATAATGAAACGAGGAGAGCCATTCATCCTGGAGGTGTGTGTATATCAAAGCAGGGAAAACAGAAGGTGGATCAGGGGGTAAAAATAGAAGGTGGTGAATCAGGGGGAAACAGTGGGTAGATCAGGGGAAAAATAGGAGGTGAATCAGGGAAAAATAGGATGTGAATCAGGGGAAAAACGAGGTGAATCAGGGGAAAACAGGAGGTGAATCAGGGGAAAACAGGAGGTAAATCAGAGGGAAAACCAGGAGGTGAATCAGGGGAAATAGGAGGTGAATCAGAGGGAAAAACAGGATGTGAACCAGGGGGAAAATAGGAGGTGAATCAGGGGAAAATAGGAGGTGAATCAGGGGAATAATAGGATGTGAATCAGAGGGAAAAATAGGATGTGAACCAGGGGGAAAATAGGAGGTGAATCAGGGGAAAATAGGAGATGAATCAGGGGAATAATAGGATGTGAATCAGGGAAAATAGGATGTGAATCAGGGAAAATAGGATGTGAATCAGGGAAAAATAGGATGTGAATCAGGGGGAAAATAGGATGTGAATCAGGGAAAAATAGGATGTGAATCAGGGGAAAAATAGGATGTGAATTAGGGAGAAAAATTAGGTGATCCGGGAGAAACAGGTGAAGATCTGAACCAGTATGTGGTTCCAATTGTCCTACCCCTGTTTTTCTCAGAAAGCTGTGTTGGTTGTGCCCTTTGGCAAGGCACTGTACCCTAATTGCTGTTTATGGCCTGTAAAAACATCTCCTGTACATCTGTAGATTGTTGGACAAGTTAACCAGTTAAGTGACTTGACAGACAGCCTACCTGAAAATCACCCTGACTTTTGATGAGGCAATAATACATAATATATTTTAACAAAGTGCTTTTCTTTTAAACCTTTGAATTAAAAACTGATACATTTATTGATTTAATTGTTTACAGTTTATGTTGAGTAATGTTGTGAAGCGTCTTTATTACTCGTCCATGGCTAACAAGGCCCCCAGCAGTTTCCAGTATATAGACTGTCACCATGGTGACCTCATCATAAGAGGCAGTGGCGACTCCTTCCATCAAGGCATGAAATGGGAGGTCAAGGTCAGTGCATGCATATGGTTTATAAGGTCAAGGTTATAACAAGGTCATGACCTCAGATCAAATGGACTCTAGTTCTGTACAATCAATGTTTTCATGTGCAACTAAATCATTTTATCACGTTTGGCTTACCTGCTTTTACTATTTTGGCGTCTGATCAGCTTACTGTGATAATTAAAACATTTATTTGTTTATAAACTGCGTTCCTTGTCTATGACACCATTAGAAACCACTGAAACTGAAAGCACATTGTGACATTAATAGTATTGTAACTATTTTCTAAAACAGATTTCACTTTACCAAATTCTAAAGCATAACATTTTAAAAAGAAGAAAATAGTATGTTACAAGAGATTTCATTTGAGTAATTCTGAAACATGTCTGAATTTTGTGTGGTGAATATTTTGTTGATGGTTAGATTTTGTGTATGATATGGAAATGAAAGATCACATATGAAATATTTTGACAAATATTTCAGACCTTTTTTTGATGTCATTATGATTTCTTGTTGGCTATACATGAATATGATCTGCATTTTGGTGTTATTATGTGTTCTATAAGTGTGTGATATAATTCTCTAGACTTGACATCACAATAGCTAGACAGCTTCATACTTATTTCTCTGATAACAAGGCAGTCATGTGAAATGGGGATTACATTCTTTCATAAAACTGGTACACCAGTCTTGTATACCTAAGTAATGTACCTGTTCAACTGTAGGCACAGCACATGCAGTTTGACTTTGATGATATCACTGACAGTGACATAATGGTGCGGACACTTAAAGAGGCGGCATTTGAGCGCCAGTCGCCACTTATACAGGTCATTCCTGATGGTAAGTCACAGTGTTAACTTTAGGCAAGTATCCTTTTCAAAAAAGTTGCTTTAGAGGCGATTTTCTTTAAGTAGATAAGGATCACTTTTAGCAAGTTATGCAAAAAACCCAGCATGATTTGTGTAGGTATTTTTCGGTAGTCCTTGGTTTTGAGGTGCAATTTTCCTTATGCAGGTTTTATCTCTTATTGTTATATGATTTATACTTGTAATTCTATTTTCCAATTCACCAGGAGTTTGTAATCATATTTTTTTTAAATACATATCTTGAAATAAATAAATAAATAAAAGCTTGCTTATCTCAATATTTTCAGATTTGTGTTTGATGATAAATTTATTTGTTATTGCTTATATGATATTTTTGTCATGTTAAGTTCTCCAACATTTCTGTGGTGGAGAAAAGCCTTTTGAAATTATGTAAAAAGAGCATATCTTTCTTTTCTAAACAAGAGATCCTAGAATAGTCTTTGTGTCCACCATTGTTAGGTCTACATTTGTTCTTTCAAAGTTGGATTTTTCTCCCCTTCTTTTCTATAATAATCTCTGAATGCCAAATCCAAGATGGCCACCTGTTGGCCATTTTGTTTTCCAGATCAGTCTTACAATCAGCAGCTCAATAAAGGACCAAAGAGAACCTACATATAAAATCTGAGAAAGGTCCATCCAGTATTTCTTGTAAATAATGATAACAATCATTAGTAAAAATCCAAGATGGCTTCTTGTCAACCATTTCGTTCATTTGATTTCAAAATAAAAATAACATAACTAGGGACCGAAGGGAAACTTCAGACAAAATTAGACAAAGTTCCATCCAACATTTTCATGGATATAGCAATAATAAATTTTCATTATCAAAATCCATGTTGGCTGGCCAGTCATCCATTTTGTTTTTGTCCCTAGTTGCATAATCAAAGGAACACAACTAGGGACAAAGGGAAACCTACACATGGAATTTGGAAACAATATCCATCCAGTAGTCTTTTCATTAAATAACAATAACATACTTTCCTTTGTCAAAATCCAGGATGGCCACCTGTCATCCATTTTGTTCCTTGAATTAGTCTCAAAACTATAGGGCATAACTAGAGACCAAGGAAAACCTTTTTATGGAATTTATGAAAGATCCATCCAGAATTTCATGTGAAATAGCAGTAACAAAGTTTTGTTGTCAAAATCTAGTATGACTGATCGATCCTAAAATCAAACCAGCACAACTAGGGATCAAGGTTTATTTGGTATGTTGAATTCCCATGGTCAATCAGAAAACACAAAACGTCAAATAAGAGGAAAGAAGAAATAAGAATGGAGATGATCTGTCTTGTAGGGGACTGATAAAAGCTAGGCCATACTATGATGGTTGCCAAACTCATTTTAGGGCCTCTCGCCAGACAAAATCAGAAGTTTACTGAATCTCAAATGAAAGATATGAAAGATTTTGTTAATAAAATATTATTAGTGACAACAGCGTTTTATTAGATTGATACAGAATCTAGATTGGCAATATTTGCTGTCAGTGTAATATCTCCTTCTTTGTTGATGTCACAATCCAAATGAGACCATGAAGCATTTCTTATAATGCTAGAAAGGAATCCACAGACACCTTCAGCCAATCACATCTCTGCTAAGTCATATTATACGAGTGTCATAACAGTTATTTATGTAATAAGTCTATAACACTTCACACATACTCTAAATAAAAAGTCCAACCCAGGTTTTAGATTCTAATTCTATACACCAAGCAAGACTTCCCTGGGATGTCACAACTTCACCGAGTCCCACCACCAACAATAACAGTCTGACCATGCCGCTCTCTCACAGAGTTCAAAATGAAAAGTTTGAAAATTCATATCTACATTGATACTTTGAGGTTCCAGAGGCTGATTGTTAGCAATGAGGGGAGAGTGTTCTTGGATGTTGCCTGGTCATTTGCTCTTCCCAGGACTACATTGTAACTCTCCAAGCCTGTTATTTATAATTTTAATGACGTATATCAGTCCTATTGCAACTCTCCAAGCCTGTTATTTATAATTTTAATAATGTATATCAGTCCTATGTCCATTGTTATAGCAAGAACATGACCATATTTGGGCAGTTTACATGACTTGTGACAGATCAAATCACCACTGCTCTTACGGGCCAAAATAACTAGTACTACATTCCGAGACCTTGTATCTTTTAGTATTTGCTGACCCGTATGTTTGTCTTCACAAACCAGTGGTCAGACTGTCATTACTCTGGACAATAAATTGTCAGAATACCATAACAGACCTCTCTCCCCCCCATTCTCAGTATCAATAAATTGTCAGAATACCACAACAGACCTCTCTCCCCCATTCTCAGTATCAAAATACTTTTTCAGATATTACATATATGTACAGGCAGAAATATCAATTGTTAATATTGTTAATTGAGTATATCAATAAGTGTGCAATATCATTATGGAATAGGTCTATTGTGTTACATCTGTGATAAAATAATATTTTTGTGTTGTGTTCAGATGCATTTATAGTACAGCAAATTGTTTTTTATCGGTTGCAGGAATATTGAGGGAGATATTGCCAGGATGGACATTTGAACAAGCAGAGGAGGAGGAGGAAGAAATGGAGGAGGAGGAGGAATATGCATTTCAACTTGAAGGTAGCCAAGGTACATCAGTGTCAAATAACCAACCAGCTGCCCCTCAAAGAGGCCGTGTACGGGGACGTTCAAATCGTGGCACTGCAGCCGCCTCCAACTATGAAGTGTCTGTAGAATTACATGCACCTCTTGATGAAAAAGAGGAACCTCAGTGGAATTCCAATGCTGCAGCACATCAACAACACCAAACTGACAGCAGTCAGTATACAAACCTTACTAATGAACGTACAAATCATGTCTATGAGGACGCGAGATTGCCCCGTAATGTCGCTAATCATCATTACCAGGGAAGTGGCCGTTCTGGTTCATCAGCCGCCGACAGTGGCTATGAAGGTGAAAATGATGCTGGAGGATTTGAAGATAGGAAATATGGTCGACTTTTACAGGGCAAAGGTAATAATGATTACAGACAAGGCAGAGATTATACTGCTAATGGTCAAATTAGGGGATACACTGATAATGGACAGCGTGGAGGTTATCCTAACAGTGTACAAAATAGTGGTTATCCTGATAGCAGACAATACCCTACGTATGGACAGAACAGAGGTAACCCTGACAACAGACAGGACAGTGGTTTCCCAGACAATAGACAGTACCCTGCTTATGGACAGAACAGAAGTTACCCTGACAACAGGCAGGCCAGTGGTAACTCTGACAGGAACAAGTTGTTGTCTAATGATAGGTATAACTATGACAACCCTGCCTTCACGAACAATGACAATTATAGCATTGTGGAACAGTCGGTTGAGCATAACAAAGCCGCAGCAGCTCGTATGCTGGGTAACCATGCGAGGGGCCCCACTGACCACCGGCACCGCACAGGGTACCTTCCTCCCTCTAATATGCCAACCATCAGTCAGAGTATCGACACCCAGGATGGACACATGGGAGAGAGTGCCATCTAGTACACTGTTCTAGTGTGAATACTTTGGATTGTGTTTCCAGAAGGAAAAAATACGCAATTGGGGTAATTGAAAGGATCAATATCAGTCTTTATAAAAAAGATGTATAGTTATTATGAAATTCAGTGTTAATTAAACTGTATTTGGGAAAATATTATCAATATATTTCAGTAAGTGATAATGATGAGTGGCAATATACAATATTTATATGTCAGTAGCCCATGCTAGTAATAAGCCCACCCTCAGCTGTTACTGTTGTTTAAAATTACAAACAAATGCTAATTGTTATCCTGTAATAAGTCTAACCTCAGTTGGCTTCCTTGGGTTTTTGCACAATAAATACATTAAGTCATGTTCTAAGATTGATACCCTATTCTGGTAGTTAGTCTGTTCTGAGTGTGTGAGTGTATGACGGTGTTAGTCTATTCTGAGTGTGTGAGTGTATGACGGTGTTAGTCTATTCTGAGTGTGTGAATGTATGACGGTGTTAGTCTGTTCTGAGTGTGGGAGTCTGTATGAGTGTGTTAGTCTGTTCTGCGTGTGGGAGTCTTTATGAGTGTGTTAGTCTGTTCTGACTGCATTAATCTGTTCTAAGTGTGTGAGTCTTTATGAAGGTGTTATTCTGTTCTGAATGTATTAAGTCTATTCTGAGTGTGATGGTCTGTTCTGAGTGTGTAATTCTTGTTCTGAGTGTGTAATTCTTGCTCTGAGTGTTAGTCTGTTCTGGTTATGCTAGTCTGTTCTGAGTGTGTTAGTCTGTTCTGAGTGTGTCAGTCTTGTTCTGAGTGTGTTGATGTGTGAGATTTTTTAAGTGAGTTCAGTAGATACAGAGCCAACAACGAAATATGTGCCATAATACATGTTGTTTTAGATTATATTAATTCTGTAAACCATAAAATGGGCATGCTCTTTGTTTTCAGGTTTTGTAAATTCTGTTTGCATGTCACTTTATTGGTGTTGAATTTGATGTGCTGAAGAAACTTTAAATTTTGTTTCCTAGGAAATTTAACTGGTAGAGCTATTCTGTGTTATCTAGTATCCAGATGTTGTTTTTGTAGTACACAGAAAATATAACCCATTCTGTACCAGGTTATACATAACAGAGAATATAACCCATTCTGTACCAGGTTATACATAGCAGAATGTTTATCTAACAGTCAAGAGTTCCTTTTCTGAAATATCCCATCAAATATGCAGATTTTGTTTTTTTTCTTAATTTTTTTTTTTTTTTTTTTTTTTTTTTTTTTTTTTTTCTTTTTTTTTTATTGATTTAAACAAACTTAATGCTGAAAATTTGTCCTGCTTTTCAGTTGACCTACAATATTTAACAATTTCAGAAGTGAAATTCCTTAATGCTAAAAATTTAAACAAGGAGTTTACATAAAGAATATTCAGGGTTTTATTTTCCACGGATTTGGAATGTAGCATTTTGACCTCACTTTGGGTATAAAATTGGTGAATTGTGAAGAAATTTTTCAGAAGTCAAATTGCAAATTTTTGGAATTTTGCGTAAATATTAGATTATTTCAGTCGAAAATTGGGCCCATTATTGGCCTCAAACAGCCCTTAAAAAGTCCTGCTGAAATGATTTCATTAGACTTCTTGGAGTTTCTAGTTCACATCAATTATCGCAGTGTGACAAATTTTCCATTAAGTGCTCTTATGGGTCTTTTGAATACCCAATATATAATAGATAAAACTGATCAAGAAATCAGTCATTATCAGACCTTTTTATAAAACATTGTACTTCATATTGTAGCACAATTGAACTTAGTATTTAAATGTCACAGACCTGTCATTCATGTAAAAATTAGACTATTTATCTATTTTACAACAACTGCAAAACAAGTTTTTCCAACTTATATTAATCACTCTTATTGGGCCAAATGGAAGTGCACTAGGGGTCTTACTGTGGGAGCAGACTGGAGTACCAAGGGAAAACCACATGGTCAGGCAGGTGACCCCATCATTATTAAGGTTGGATTTGCCCTATTTTTGTGACAAAAATCCATGCCTCAGGTAATAAGACTATTCCTACCTATGGGCTGCTGTTTAGAAATGCTTTTCCTTTGTTCTCAGAGTCAGTTGTAATAGGCTGACGTTTGATCTGAGAGGAAGATATATAAATAAAATATGTATACAGCAATGATATAATTACAGGTATAAATTTTAACTCATTCTTAATTGCATTGGACGGACTGTATACCAAAGGAAACTGATTTGTACACATAGACCCATCACATTAGGCTTGTACATAACTGTGATACTGTTAACTAAGTTCTGAATTTGTTAAAGACTAATTAAATTGGGTGCTATTGGTAGTGTGTATGAATATAACACAAATATAATAAATTAATATGTTCTTAATAATTTTTTTAATTTCATTCAAAATGTATATTGTACTTGTAGTGATCTGATAAGTGTGCAGCTTTTGAAAACTATTCTTGTGTTTCCATCCTATCATTCATCAGTTATAAATTTCAAATTTCCTAAATTCTTTTTTGTCACTCACAAACTGAATTACCTCCCCTTAGTTTTTTAGCACAATATCACACATAATTATACTATTTTTTATGCAAGATCATGATGATTAAACAAAATTATAAATGGCATGTACATAGTTGAACATGATTTTATCAACAACATGTTAAGGAACAGCAACCTCAGGAGACCATGAGACCATGTGTGCTTTTCTCAGGGGCCTGCTTGTTTATAAACACAATCACATCATATATTATGTAAACATTACCCTAGTCCATGATCCAACCAATCAATCTGATAAATGAAAATAGCTCTTTAAAGTTGATTAACTTGGCATGGGAAAAAGAGGGCTTTGTGTGATTTCCTAAGAGATTTTTAATTTACTTATTTTGTCTCTGGTTTTGTTGACGCTCTACTCTGGTTTTGTTGACGCTCTACTCTCTCCTTCTGTATGATCCAGGTTCTCGTAGTATCTGGTAAAATAACAGGTTCCACATCGTCACAAATCTACAAGACTCTGCTTTGTTGTTTGACTCAAATGACAGAGCAGAGTCTTGTGGGATTTCGACAATGCAGGGTCCATGATGTCTGGTTTTCCCTAAATACAAATATACAATGGAAGTCAGTAAAGGAATTTTTAAATTGGTTGTCAATATTCAGGAGACATTTGTCCTCATACTTTTTAAATTGTTATGTATCTTGTGTTATATATTAACTTCTAAGGTAGCTGGTTAATAATTTTGTCAATATACGTATGAATTGTACATATTGTACTTATTCGTCTGTATCGTGTACATAAATACACTATGATGTATGCCTTGGTGATGTCACATTAAGAAACCACAGTTCAGCACAACGTGTAGGAATATTATTATAAGGAACCTATCATCATATTGCCTATAACGTTTCTGAATTTTAAAAAGTTCTTTTTATCATTTTTGTTAAATTATATCCTGATAAACACAGGTTAAATACAAATGTACTAGTGTTTGAGACTGACCAAAAACTACATAACCAATGAGAAATTCAATGAAAATTCTTAAATGTGATTTATTCCACAGTAATTTTGGAGTTTTTTTTCGACCTCAGCATAGCTTAAAATGTCCAGGTATATTGTGATGCACAGCTGTGACCACGTCATTTTATATCTAGTGTTTTTTCTGCAAATTATTTTCCTCATCTCTTTGCAAAATGAATACCTAAGATTCTCAGTTAAATTGAACACGGTTGCCCTCTATCACACTCATTGTTGTGATATTAAAATAGAAAAATCCCTGTAGTTTGACTAATTGACAACCAAAGGGCTATCTGACCCTGAATCAGGAATAGAAGACATTTAACAGTGCACTGGAAGGTTACACTTGTTTAGATTTCCAGAAAGATTTACACATCACATTACATTTCACACGTAAATGTACATAATATTTTGCTTCTCTGAGATACATGTGATAAAGACAACAAAGTGTGGTCGTCAAAACACATACAAACTTTCTGTAATGTAAGATAATATACCTACATATCTCCTATATATAACTCCACATCTACAGCTCTGGTCAAAGAATATCCATGCACAGGTACTTACATTTATTACCTGTATATAATGTCAGTTTGATGGTTTATTTCATCACCATATCATGATTTCAATAATAATTATATATATTTGATATTAAGCTGTATGAAAGATGAATATACATTGTATTTGTAAATATATTTGTAATACATTCCGATTATATTTTCATATATCCCCAGTAAATATATTTTGCCTTGATTACTTTAACACATTCCAATATTTTTTTTACTAATTTCCTCAGTAAATATAATTTGATTTAGATAAGTTTTGAAACTACTTTTATGCACTTAATTAACAGAATGATGTTTGAAGAATCAAAAGTCTGAAAATTAATAATTTTAAAATTTCAGATGTATTTTGAAATGTAATATCAATAAGTTAAAATACAAAACTTTATGTATGAATTACATAACCAGTCTGAAGATGTGACACATAAGATCAAAATTCAACCACAATCTTAATACATTGAAATATAATTTTGGTTGCAGGTGCCAAACGATTGGTCAAATTTAATACTTGGCCTTCATGTGACTGGTACCTATAGGATAAGGGTTATATATTAAATGTTTCAGTTAAAATATAAACGTAGAACTGTATATATTTTCGTTATGATATATGTATCAGATGTTCAAAGTACTTTTACTTTTGTTTTTCTGTATCTTTCAGTTTTGCTTTTATAATTTGGTGATACAGTGTATCTTATATGTGATAATTGCATCCATTTGATTGAGATTGAGTTTTTCTTTTTATTCACTTGAGTTTATAGTAATTTCAGGAAATGAAATTTTTGGTCAGTATTTATAAAGATAATTATGTTCTGTCAAAAAAAAAAAATTGCAATCGTTTTTAATTTATGATAAAATTCTGACTGAGGAAGTAACATAACCTGCTACTGTAAAGTGATAAATTTTGTGGGGTTTTCATTTTTATTGATTTCATGGGACTCTGAATTAATATGTCCACAAAATGATGAAGAGTAAGAATACGTAGTTTTACTTTAGCAGATTTCGTGAGTATTACTATTGGTCCACAGCATCAGATGTCAATGGAAATATATTATCCTAGAAAAACCATGCAATATGAGCCCCACAAATATATATCATTTTATAGTATCCTGCTCACAAAGCCTCTTATTTCTTCTTGACCATTTAACAAAGGAACAAGTAATTGCAGTATTTATGTCATTTATATACTTATTTGTACTTAGGTCAAAGGTTATTTTGTAATAAGGGTCAAAAGGTCAGTAAACATATATTTATATAGGGGTCAGGTAACAGAGATTGGAGTAAAATATTCAACGATAAAATTGTACAATGAAGAACCTGAAATAAAAGGTAAATACAGTAGGAATGTTATTTGTTTGTCTATTGATTGAACTGAAATTGAAAGTTAAATTTCCAGATTTGTAACTATTACAGTGAATCTTCCTGAAATGGATCCTTCTCAAAACCAATAACCTCATGAACTTGAACAAAGCGACTGATACCCTCTTTATTAAAGTACATCATTTAATATAACATCATCAACATACATGAAGCAATGAAAATTTACAGTGATTGTCAGTAACCATAAACTAGAGAATATACCATTTGATTAAATGTTAAGAAGAGGATTTCTTTTAGAAGTAACTTGAATCAAATATTCATTAAGATTTCTCAAGCTCTTCACATTTTTGCAGGACAATAGTTGTATTAATTTGAAGACAGACAGACGACGGAAGTAATAGGGTTTAATATATTTGATTCTGAGCTCTAAATAAACTGGGCATCATAACATGAAATGAGTTTCATCCTCGATGTCCTTACTATTACAAAGAGGACAATACCTTTGGGCTCCGGGAGATATCGTTATATCTGCCCTATACTTAATGTGTGGGACTGTAACCGATACTTACTGAGGATATTTTGATACTTATAAGTGAGAGATTTGGTAAAACTGTATATCGTAATGATCAACAATGTATCTCTAGAATGTTTCTCACTTCATGAATATGATAATCTTTCACACGTTGGGTGTATAATAACACAACCTGTTTTTCACTAAATATGAACGGATTTAACCAAACATCATAAAAGCCTGTTCTGCATAATTCCTGTTTCACTTGGTAAACAAAATTAGCTTTACAATTAGGTTTATTCTTTAACCAGTACTTTCTAATCGATATTTTACGTTTAATTTGTAATTCGAAGTAAACCATAGAATTATTTACAGACTTTTTAACTCCAAGAACTTCCTTCAAAAAATGCAAACGTACCTTTTCAATTAGGGTTGCCGGACTGGATCCCCAGATTTTACAATCATAGCGAAGAAGTAATATAAGGGTCGAATAATGACAACAATTTAACATAAAATTTCTTAATTTTCTATTCAATAAAAATGTCTTTCTGCCTTTAGCCACAATGTTATCTAATGCTAAGGTAAAAAGGCAATTAAAGTAGACCACTAGACCAAGATAGCAAAAGTTGTCCACTATATCAATAGGCCTACCATTATATGTCCATTGCTCGTTAGGAAAAACACGTTTTCCCCCCTAAATATTATAACTTTAGTTTTACCTACTTTTATATATAAATTCCAACCTTCAGCGTACAAAAACAAGTGATCAAGCATATTCTGTAGATCGACTACGTCTTCAGGAAACAAGACCGTGTCGTTCGCACACAAAATAAAAAAAATTGTTTTAGCAACTGTTATTGGTAACTCTGACAAATTGAATTGATAAGTTCGGACTCCATATAATTGATAACCAATGAAAATAAAATCGGATATAAAGATTCCCTTTGATGTTTACACAAGACTTCACATTATCATATATAGATCTAATTACATTTAGCAGTCGACCTCTAATACCCGACTTCTATAGTTTGAGCCATAATCAACAAAAAACACAATACAGTCGTTTATAACTACTTTGTAAAACTTAAGTAATTAAGGTATTTATAACAAAAATTGCATCCTGTGTACCACTTCCGGGTCAGAAACCAAATTGAGCGTCAGTAATGACTTTTTTTTTTCTTTTTCGCTCCGTGACAATAAACGTCTGTTGAGGAGGGACGCAAAAAGCTTTGCTAAATGACCGATGATGGTAATACCTCTATAATTGTTAACATTGTCTTTGTCTCCCTTTTTATGTACAGGTACCACAACACTTTGAGCCCAACACTTGGGGAATTTTATGCAACACGCAAAATAGCGTTAAATAGTTTAAACAATACAGAAACAAAAAGTTCGCTATACTCAATGAAATTGCCGTTTAACAAGATGTCTATATCAGCTGACTTTCCCTTAGATGGACTTGTTATAGCTGTAAACAACTCCTGGGTACTGAACTCATCGTCCAGTTCGTGATAAAGACATTCATAATTATCTACAAACTCCTCAGCGCAAAATGATGTACCAGCTGGAGTATCTGCCAAGCCTTTAAAATAATTCAAAAATCATCAAGTCACTCGTATTTACACATTATCTTCCTTTTGAAGTTACGGACGCTTCGTTTTAGATTCTTACAATGTATAGCGCTTTTTGGATACAGTCAAATGTTCTCTATTACATACAGATTTACATTTGTTAGATTCAAACAATGCAGACTTATAAATTTCGTATAAACGCTTACATTCTGCGTTGAATCAAGGTTTGTCAGGGGTTTTAATAACACGACGACACAATTCATGACAAGAGCACCGACAGCTTGGAACTACCTTTTCCCTCAAACAAAACTGGTCAAACAAAGAATGAACATTGTTAATAAAAACTTCAAGGCAATGACCAATACTTTCACTAGAATCACAACATCTACATTTTTCGACCATGATTTTTAAATTAAGAAATATTGAGGCATGTTAGGAAAATTCATTAAACAGAGGATATCTTTTTAGTATGAACGCCAACCGGCAATATTCTTCTATACAAAGTCATTATAATTGAGCCAATGAACAGCCCAAACTGCGAAGTTATTGCAATAGAAATTCTCTACCCTGTATAAACTCTTCTGTTACAAAATATAGACAGAAAAAAGTCACCACTACATTTGATCATGTCCGAATAAGGAAATGGCCTCTTGTGAAGAAGACAAGCGTTTTCTTTGGCTCTTGGAGTGCTTTAGTAGGCAGATCTTTTCTTAATGGGTTTCTCCAAAAAGAAAACGTCCTACATTAGATAGAAACTGTTGTTCAAAATGTTCTGGAAACAATAATGAAGAAAAACCGTTGACAATATATTTTTAAGGCAATACGACAAGCCATTTGCAATTGTTGAGGAGTGCTGAGAAATCAGCCAGACACAAAATTACTGGTACAAAACATCTATGTGACTTTCTCATGCTCTTAAATTCGTCTTTCATTGAGAATTCTTTGCATTGGACGATTTCCAGTCATATATAACTCCAAAATCTGTGAGTGACCAGAGACTACCTGCATGCTTGATAAATAAGTCTTTTACAGACCAATTATAGAGGTCCACTGAAACGATTTTGTGCAACAACCTGTTTCCTAAATCACGACCTCGTGCAGCAAATAACGTCGTGTATCTTTATGTCCAGGAAACGGATCAAGCATATGTTTTGGCATTTCCAAATTTTTCTTCAAAATACATTATTATAACGTTTGGTGAATTTGAATGAGTTTTTAGTTGCTGTTGATTATGTATGAAACAAAAAGGTAGAAGACACAAACACTGGATAAATTACCGATATTCAATTTTTATACGGAAGAGTAAATTTCAAGTATTTGAGATGTGAAATGGTTTTTTTTTCAATATTTTTGAAAAAAAAGGAATGTATCTAAAGACTAAGCATTGATTCAATTGATTCATATTTCATAAAAATAAAAACAAAACAAAGAGACATACAACAAAATACACAGCAAACACCAGTTCCATTTTCTATATAAGTAGAATGTTTAATCATTTATATACATCATAAAGTAACTCCTTGATCCTTAGGACCTAGAGCATAGTATATAATAAGTTTAACAAGTCAGTAGTGGTGACTTCATGTTCTGTTGATAAAACAGGCGACCTGAAATAAGAATATTGCTGACCTTCAATATTGGGCATCCTATATAACACCTTTAAATCACTTCCGATTTACCCTGACTGTGAAATTCGATGGAAATATTATAAACAGAGGATTCAACATATATCTAACAAACAAATTTCTTTCATATCATTTCACAATCGAAGATCATAAATACATTGTTGACTTAAAATTAATGTATTTGATTTGGTTTCAAAAGCCAATGATATGATCCGACAAGACTGACTTCTGGTGTTGTACCTAAGAGGTCATGCACGGGCAACATTGGTAGATCAGTCGATATGGTCGAGTAATCATCGTATTTACCAAGCGACACCTGATTAGTAAACACGCGAGTTCAGCTTAAGACAAAAGTAACACCTTAGAAAAAAATTAGTACTCTCAACAGTCCATGCGTAAAATTAAACAGACCCTAGTTGTGTTTCCTGTCATGGACCGAAAATGAAAGATAAATGAAAAATAATCTTTAGTTAATATTCAGATGCAGTTTGTTCTTGAAGACATAAACCTGTTGCTTCAAACGTTTATAAAATCGCAAAATATTAAACAAGCAAAGAAAAAAAATCGTGTATATCAGACGTCCTTTAAAACATATTTTCCACATTAACACTTTGTCAATAACAATAAGTTTCATTTTCTGTAATTGTTTGGTAACATCTAAAAACAGCATCATAAGAAATAATAACGACACCCTACGCTGTTTTTCCTTGATACATGTGAGCTGTTCTATTGCGTTGATGCGTAAAGAATATATTCTCAACATCTGAATTCATAATAACATTTTTCATGTTTTTTCTTGGCATGTTTTATAATGAGAAGGACAACCATGTCGTTCAACTTCATTCAACAAATATAACAATAAAAATACTAGTATTTACATGTCACAAGTGATTTTTTGTTGATATTAAAGTTTTTATGATGTACACGTTAAAAATGAAATATATTACATAAATACTAATGTTTCCAGACATATTTTTTCTAGTATATGAATAATGACATCCTTCCCTGACTTCGTCTGTGGGCTGATTTCCTTCAATTTCCAACTTGGAATCCACTGAAACAGATTGAAAAGTAAAACAGTAAAACTAAAAAATAAACATTAACTTTGCTTTATCGATTTACAAAATATTGCGTTTTTCTCAATGCTTAAGCTTACCTATGAAAGACATCTGCGAAGGTGCGCGAGAAAGACATACGCTTTCTACCAAATGAAATGTCAAATAACTCACGTGATCTCAGGTTTGTATTCTGATTGGACAAGAAGAGCAAACTTTGTTTCTTCATTGGGTGAGTTGAGATGAATGAGCATAACATAACTTCCGGGATCAAGTACGTAGTCGGCCTTGACTTTGGACCCTGCAACGAACTTGCCGTCGTCATTGTCTGTCATCAGAACAATGACACTTGCCTCTCGGTAATTGTAATTGATCCAGCGGGTAGTAAGCGGAACGTCAATACTGCCATCATCCTAGGGAATGTAGCGGGACATATTATAACAAACAGCTCAAAAACCTCTTTAACTGACGAAAATATTGATAAAACATGTTCGAGAATATCACAAAGATAGATATGAAAAAAATAAGTATACAATAGTAATTGTTCTTTTATGCAAATGTAAATGTAACCAGATCTTTATTTACAGCAAATTCAATGCACGCACTGCACCTTGTTGTATCTGCCACCTGGCTACTCAACAACATATTTCTTTACGACACCAGATTATCGCAGGGCAGATTTGACGGTATGGATAACGTTCACAAATACATTCAAAGATGATTTAAAACGAATGAAAATTCTAGAATATTTTGAAGGACATGGTTTGGGAAATTCGACTGGTTGATGTTAAATACATGATGTCGCCAATTATATATTTAAGAATTATGGAAACTTACTCGCCACATACGGATACCAAGGGGAACCAGTTCCGGTTTATCATTTTGAAGTAACTGGAACCGCACAAATCCTGCAACAAAGGACAAATATTTGCTTAAAACATTACTTGAAGTTGTTCATGCTACGAAGCTAATATCAACACACTGTCTCTGTATTCAGTACATCTGATGCATTACAAAGACGCACAGTTGCTTGACACAATACCCTGTATAAATAAACTTCCACACTAACCTCTCCGGCTGACTCTGATCTGGAACTGAGGATTGATTTCCACAGTGTTATAAGAAACCTGACCTCCGGCATTAACTCCTTCTGTGATAGTGCCTGTCAGACACTGGATCTGCACTGTACAGAAACATATAACAGTCCTTGTCAACGATGAAGTTAGTCAACATAGTTATAATTCAACAACAACATAATGTATTATGAAGACTTATCTGTCTAGTGGCGACGTTCATTTGATATTTTCGGGTATTGATATCAGTGGTCATATTTTCATTTAAAGTAGATACACAATTTATTCTACCAGCAATATGATGAAAAAAGACCAGATCTAGTTTGTCTATTGAGTAGATAGTGCCTGCATTTATCATTGCATCATTAGAAACAACATTCCCCAAACTGCCTTCATAGTAATCATCACGTGTAAATATACGTTACATGATGCAGTTTACTTACACTTATCCACTTCAACGTTGAGAGATTCAGGTATAGCCTCCATGTCACAAAGCATGTATTCGATCCCTTTGTCCTGTGTGAGATTCCTAGGACAAAGCATATGTTTCTTACGTGTAGAGAGTAACAGTTCTGGTAGAAATCTCACAGATATGGGCACGACATGAATACTTAAAACACGTTCTTTGGGATTGCATCAAACATCCGTAAAACTTTAATAATCATTTATAAGATTTCAAATGATCTTTGAGAAGTTGATTTACAATACCTAACACCTAAACTTTAATCTTCAAAAAATATTCATGCTGTTTCGTCCATGGACTACTTTTAGATATTTCAACTCACACAAAATTTTGCAATGGTCCAGATGTGTAGACTCGGATAAGAAATTCCTTCTCGACTCCTGCATTTCCGGTGGACGGTATGACAATGTATTTCCCAGGCTGCACTAAATACCGGAAGGAACGTTGCTGAGAGTTTTTGTAAGAGTTGGTTTTCTTTCCAAGTTCATCTATTATGTACATACCATCATTAGAACCATATACCTGTCGACATCGGGAAATTAAAACATAATTTGAAATGTTCGTTGTTAACAGGTATACGACAACGATATCTTAATGATATTTTGCACTAGGTTTACTGAATTTGAGTTTGGATTATAATTATGTTGACAAGTTAGTATTTTCTTGCAAGTTTTTTTACTTATTTATTTATTTATTTATTTCTGGTGCTGTCTTGAGCATTGAGTAAGAGGTCCATTATACAAACAGGAAGAAGAGAAACTTTATCTCTGGTGAAGTCCAGTATGTTATTGCGAGCAATAATTATATAAAAAACACACACAAAAAATGGTTATTTCGATGTTGTCTTCAACAATAACAACTCGATAATATCATTTCATTTAAAATGACACGGAGAACCCAGACTTCAAACTTAGAATTTTGGTGTTCTGTCTTTACCTTATAAACGTCACAGCGGATTTGTGCCATATCCTCCCGTCTGTGTTCTGTCCGTTGTATGAGTTGTACAACCAGAGGCACATCCCCGTTTTCGTCCGAGGCTAAAGACACAATCGTCAGAACATCAGAAGTCATTCAGGACAATTAGGGGACTTAAACGGTACTTATATGGTATGAAGAATGCCATAACAAGGTTTAGATACATAGATAAGTTATATACCATGAATTTGATGACATATTATAAATGAACAGTCCAGGAGGTGGTGTTACATTCAGTAAATCAAAAAATGTGTTTGAAGTCCGTTTTCCACATATATACCATTAAGTAAAAACACGTGCAGATAAAATGAAATAATTGACCCTTGGATTACAACACGAAGTTATGTTTTTCAAACAAAATATGTTAAGACAAATGATCAGCCATGCAGATTGGTTCCAAATGTAACAAATTACTGGTTTTCGTTGGCATTGAATATTTGAATCGGAAGAGGGTCATGCAGAAAGTATTTGGTACCAGTATTTAATTTTACTTTATTGTTCTATTAGTTACAACAGTACTTATACAACGTAAAAAAACACACCGCTGTCGTTGACTTCTATAAGAAATTTCGGATTCTGTAATTTCTTCTCAAATCCTGCTGCGTTGTCATCTCTCCAGTCACCATATAAACACGTGACGTAATCTAAAACATGACGTCACAGAATACAAAGAGTGATGGTAAACATTTTTTTACATTTTACCTGAGAAATATAGGAACAAGCGTGATAAAAAAAAATAAAAACTGATACATCATGTTTTAATACTACAGATATAAGTGATATCGCCATTATTGATGATATAACGTTTCCACTAACGATATATGTTTCGTGATTTTGACCGACAAAAATGGTGCTTTCTAGTCATTGCATTGAAATTGGTCGGTTGTCCTGTTCGGACGAAGATAAAGCGAGGTTAAATAAATTTATTTCCATTGAATAATTCTTGTGTGCATTTCTGGTTTTCTAGAAAACATCATGAAATGGTAGAATACAACGTAAATAAACCTATTAAAAATGACATTTTGTTGCTAAGTGCAGTGCGCAGATGTTTCCAGAGTTTTTCTTAAACCCCTTTTAAAATGTAATAAAAAGAATTATAATGGTCCTTAAAGATAGATATTTACTTGTTTGGCAGAATAAATCAAATATCCTCTTTGGAGTTAATAATACCAGTCACATGCCAATGAAAGTACAAATGGAATATCACAGATATTTCTATCCCCTTCTTCAATGTACATGTGTTTAACGACTCATGTAAGTCATATAAAATATATATATATATGTTTACGGTTTGAAACGCAAGTAGCTAAAACATGGTTGATAAAACTACAATTTTAAGCAATCAAGAGAACATCTGATATTATCTTCTGATTTCCAGTTTGAGGCTCCAGAACCTTTTCCTTAAACGAGAAATGCATATCACTAAAATGGAAGGCGACGAAGGGGCAGATTTGGCATGGAGCTTGCGGTATTTGTTATTCCGTCTCCTAACTGCATTGAAGACTGATTATTTGGATGTACTTGCGATATTTCTTTGGATTTAATGCTATTTAAATGTTTATGACTTTTTTTTGAAAATATGAACAGTTTTAAACAGCTTGAATGAAGCCATAAAACAGGCAGTGAAAATTAATATTCACAGTATATATGTATACAATTGAGTATTTTCTCTCTCAAATTAGACTCGGTATTAGCCGGTGTCTATATCTTATTAGTGTCTCCTTGCAAATAATTATTATACAACTCGTTGAATAGCCGTAGAATGACTCCATCTAAAATTCATCCTTTAACTATTTACAAAATGAATGTCACAATACAGTATCTCCCTTACTGAGCGTGTCTTCACTTCCGTCCCTGTCGAAGTCGGGCGTGACAGAACAAATGGTCACCAGGCTAAAGCACTTCATGAAATCGTCTATCGAGATGTAGAACTCGCCGTCGTCTGCGTCAGCACGTCGAACTTCATTTTCCGAAACTGATAACCATTCGGGACTCCTGTTGGTGCACAAATCGATCACATAAGCAATGTCACCATTTGCGACAGATGAAAAAACACCAACAAAAAGGTCTTCACATAAATCTATATTAGCCTTGTTTAAAGTGGAACACTTACCCGTCGCTCCAAGCGCCCTTCCATTCTCCTCTACCCCATGGATTTCGTACAAGAAGCAAACGGTTACCATTAATCTGAAGCCAGTGAAGTGGAAAATAAAATATTCGATTCTATAACACATTTCAATGATCATTTTTATGCTATGATTAAAGAGCAATGCAATTGCAAACTAGACAGATTCTAATCAGAAAAAATGCATGTGTATAATTTCAACGACATACTTTCAGCAAGTCCACTCCTAAGTTCTAATGCCTATCCACTGGCAGATCGGCCTATCAATCCTTATGGATGATAAGTTCAAAACCAAACAGAGCCCGCCTACCATCTTCAACAAAAGGTAATAGGGATGCTCTTATGGCCAAAAGTGTCACCAGAAATGAACCCACGTGAATTTCACACAAAAGTCAATGCTTGGGATCCAAAATGTCAAATCATTGAAGAATTACGGGCTGCATTAACTCTATAGTGATAGAGCTTCAGCTTCTGGACAAAGGTATGAGATGATGGGCACATGCATTGTACCAGGCGTGGGGCAGTTATAACCAAAACTGACGTTTTTATACCTAAAATAATCTAACAATTAGTTAATCTTCTCGATCAATTAACTTGGTGATGTATCTGTTAATAAGAGACAGTTAAAGTCAAAATTTAATCTACACGTTTGGAACGTGTTTTTTAAAAACCATACAGCACTTTCGTTTCTGCAAATTCTCTTTTCCTATCGACTGTGTATATTTTTGTTGGATGCCTACAACAACCATATATGTCCTGTTAATATGGCAATTAATGCTATTTGTAAATTCGACGAATAAGACTAAACCCCAATCCAAGGTATAGGCGGTCCCTGACCTGAGAAGTAGTTTCAGATATACAACAAGTACCTTGTTCCTCACAAGTATTGAAAGAGCCCCTGTAACCAATGGGTAAGATTCTTATAATGAAAAGTTTATAACATATTGTTGGCTACACTTTTACTTGTGTATTTATATCACTTTCAATAAGATATTAACCTTATTCTACCTGGAGGCAACAATAAGAATTTTTCATGTCAAAGAATTCTCTATCTGACCAAGTTCATTTTTTAAAATTTTTGTTTTTGGGATTTTATCCTGAACTTAATGCACAATATTATAAATATTAAATAAGCAATACTCATCACGACAATCTTTATCTTAAAGTAAGTCAAACTCTCCACGACGAACAAGCTAGACTCACCACAGTGCTCTTTGTCAATGTGTACTCGTGGTTTCCAATCAATCCATTGAACCCCATGAGTTCACCCTGTTATCAAAAAATGGAAAAGAATATGGCTAGACATAATTTCACTCAATATCTGTTATCAGAAAAAATATCAAAGTGGCAAATATCAACTTTAAAATAATCTCAAATAAACCGATTCCATTAGTTGTGAATAGGCTAATATCCATATATCTGTCCATATATCCGCCCATCCAACGTCCGGGCGACTGTCTGTCGTATCACCATGGTATACATGTATCTACAAGTAATGTTTAATGTCCATATATCCGTCTATCCCACGTCCGGGCGACTGTCTGTCATATCACTATAGTATACATGTATCTACAAGTAATGTTTTATGTCCATATATCCGTCCATCCAACGTCCGGGCGACTGTCTGTCATATCACCATAGTTAGAAGGCATAGTATACATGTATCTACAAGCATTTTTTTAATTGAAAAACTGTAAAGTCCTGTAGGACACTTAAGAGTTAGTTACAATGCCTGGTTTGCAGTTGCTAATGGCAGAAATAATTGAGACTAACTTACTCTTATTTCCGAAATTAAAGTATATTTTTACATTTCACTGTACTCTGGACATGTCAAATCTCTAAGGATACAGTTCTTATACATATTTCAATAATAATTGCATCCCGGACAACAATATCACTAAACGATTTATTGTTCCCGAAGAATTATATTTAAATGACTGTTATAATTCGTAAACAGGATATAGTAACAAATCGAGAAAAAAAACTCGAACATGCACGACAACCTCGTACCAAACAGAAGTATACCATCTTACCGGAACTGCGCATGCCACCATAGCTCCTGAACGGTGCGCGTTGGTCACACGAACAAAAACTTCATTTGGAGTTACTTCCCCTGATCTCAGATCAATTTCTTCTGGAACACCGGAAGTTAGTGCCACGAACGAGGCTGCGCTCTGGCCGCCTGTGACATCTTCGTAACTACCGTAACATCTAAAGAGCAGAAGAACAAATCCTGTGGAATATGTCAGTACATGTACGGATACCTAAAATCTGCCTGCCATCTTTGAAGTTTCGTAAAGTGACACCTTTCTATGTTTTATTTAGGTGACTTCATTTTAAGAACACGACAGCCTTCGACGGGTTTCTACATACCTTTTGAACTATTTGGTCGATGACTGAACTTATTGTGATAATGATATCCATTTTATGAACAATTCAACTTTAAGTATTCGCAGTTCAAAGTTTATTTTCACCTTATCCTCGACGCATTTGCAATCTGTACCTGCCGCGTAAAGCAAGGAAAGCCCAATAGTTACCGTGTTTTCCGTGTTTATCGAAGTAGTGTAACTATGGTTTTCGTTGAATAATAGATAGTAATAAAGTCAAGATGATAAGGTATGAACTTACAACACAATATGATTCGCCAAGATTAAAGCAATATTTGATATTTCTAAGAGAAAATTAAATGAAAATAAATCTGCCAAAATATCCCAGCAAGTTTCCTCGGGATTCTTACATCAATTTCTCGAAACGCGGAACGAAGGAAACATGACAAAATACTTCTAACGAAGGGTTCCTCAATAATATGTACATATATGATGGCGGTTGTTCTCAGTAGAAAGTTTTAGGCAAAATCCGACAGGTATTTCTCGTAAGTGATTTCTCTAGGCATGCATTATTGTGTTGAAGACGAAAACAATGCCGAAAACGTCTGTCTCTAAAACGATAACATCAATGTCCACATTTCATTGATTGTGCTCATTTTACAGAAAGAACGGAGTTGTCTATAAGGATAGTTGGTAAATGACTTTTCTAGTTGATGGAAAAAACTAACACTTCGAAAACGTACAGGTATCTGCCGAATACCTTCTCATTTTGAATGTACATCTTGCTTGTCTTGTTTCGCATTCACCATGAGCGAAAGGTGTGTAATTTAATCTGTTGTAGTTGTGATCTCTTTGTAGATGTTTTATGTTTTATCAGTTTGATACCAAAGACGTAAGAAATGATCATTAATTGACCGTCCCGAATACTCACAACATTTTTGAAGCTAGTGAATTTCTCTCTATTTCGTTGGTCCCCTCTACTAATTAATGACTAATTACAAGCCACATTGTTACCATCCCCTGCGTTTGTCCAGTGTAACAATGGACACTTACTTGGCGAATGCTTTCTCCAACAGGGCGACCCACATTTCATTTTCGTCTGTGTCAGAATGTGCCCCGTATACGACATTGTCGTACACAATAGGCAGATAATCGTCTATGTAGACATCCTCCCATACGCCGTAGCGCCAAAACCGGCAATGAAACACGCCATCATATTCAGGCTTTCCTACGAGGTAAGCGTCCGCTGGAATTACCTAAGTCAGAAAGCAAAGATCTTGTTAAAGATGAAATAATGATAATAATAATGTATTACATGGTACGAGTAACACCTCTCACCTAGACCCCATTGTCCATCATAATTTGAATAAATAGGATTGTTTGCTGAAAGATTGGAGGTCAACAGTAAGCATACACATTTGATCTATTTCTCTATTGCCGTTTTTCAGTCTCAGTTTTTTTCTATCTAGGATAGACTGACCAATTATGGAACTTAACTAAATACTGAAAAGTTTATTTAGTAACGACAATATTATTTAAACGGAAAATACCGAAAATGTAACAACTGTGATCTATTGTTCCGTGAAATAAATAATCATTTTAATGGTTTGGTATTATTACACAGGCAAGTCATTATCTCAGCTGCAGCGAAAACCAATGGTAGGTGGGATATTTCGTAGAACTTGTTTACTGTATACATACACCATTGATATGTTAGAAGCCAATACATTTACCTGTCTCATGAGATTGGGTTTGTCAGCTATGTTGGTTACTGCTGCCAGAAACCAGCAGGTACCGATTGACCTTTGACCTATGTCGTACTTCGAAGTACCATCTGAAACGAGGACCGGATTGTCTCGGATATCCTATAGAAACAAAAAACAACACAAGCTACTCCAGATCCCAACATAGTATAATCTTTATTACAACACAAGCTACTCCAGATCCCAACATAGTATAATCTTTATTACAACACAATCGATTCCAGATCCCAACATAGTATAATCTTTATTATTTCTCTGAAAGTCATTTTTGTCCACTTCTATGGTCTTTCAGAATACAATGTGAATACAATAAAATTGAAATTGGACAGTAGGTAAAGTCAGTAGAAGAATTTTCCCTGGACTCTACAATATTTATATTCTGAACGCTATATTGAGGCAAGCATACACATCTTGCTTAATGTCACAGAAAATGACCGAATGATGGATATATAAAAAAAAACGTCCAACGATCTGCTGATTTTATACATTCACACTCATATAAAATATTATTTAGATATCATCCATGGCATTTAATTATTTCACTGATAATATACACTATAATTCGGTTGATATAACTTAACACGCTTAATATCAGATAATCCAATTAATATCAGATAATTCTGTTAATATCAGATAATCCTGTTAATATAACATAATCCTGTTAATAACACATTCAGTTTAATATCACATATATAGTACATTTCAGCCGTACATACAGTCTTATTCTTATCAGCATAGTTGCAACATATCGTTATTAATACTTACTGTTGGTCGCTTCCATTCTATCTCTCTGCCTTGTGGATCTGGTTTCGGCAGTGCAACTTTAAGTGGAAATTGGTAATCAGTGTATAGGCCGGAAGTTACGTGTGGACGGTGTTCGATATCAAAATCAGTTGATTTAGACCGGAAGTCAACATGAACTTCAAAAGTATCTAAGTTTGTCCGCTGGTATTCTGTTCCGAAGTGAAGTCCGGGAGTCACAGTGACATCTGTGGGAGGGGGAGAGGGATCACGGGGTGGGATATCTGTAGGAGGTGGAGTTGGATCACGTGAAGGGGGTAAATCTGTTGGCGGAGGAGGAGTTGGATCTCGAGGGGGTGGTGTTGGGTCCAATGGAGGAGGGGTCGGGTCTCGAGGTGGCGGTGTTGGGTCTCGCGGTGGTGGAGTTGGGTCCGATGGAGGAGGGGTCGGGTCTCGAGGCGGCGGTGTTGGGTCTCGCGGTGGTGGAGTTGGATCCCTTGGGGGAACAGGAGCTGGGCTAGTAGGTGGTGGATCTGCAGGTTTTGGAGCGTTCATGTCGTCAAAATTGTCATCTTCGCCATCTTTACATTTAGACAGTAGACTTCCCATGGTGACTTTTCTGGTGCTGATTCACTGAAATACATACATATATATATATATATATGACACGAATTCTAAACCAATCTGGACTATTAGGAAAGTGAAAGATCAGATGGTGAGAACATTGGCCTACGTAACCTCAGGTGGCGGTTTGTCTTTCAGGAAGCTGAGCAACGAACCGGTCTGTACAGGCGTGGTCGTGCCATTGGGCAAGACACTTCACCCGGATTGCTCTGGACGGCATGCGACAGGACTCTAGTTTGTTTTTCAGTATGTATGTTAGGTAGCCATCAGCTGCTACAAGGAGAACCTGCCTTAAAATGACACTTGTTGTTTACGTGGCGATAAACTCAATTAAACAAATCAATATATTGATAGGAACGGTAGGTTGTGTCAAGTCTGTGTGATATTACGAAAAACGACAAGAAAATCCAAAATGAATTTCAATAAACGAAGGTAAATTATGCACAAATAACAAATTTAAACGAAATATCTGAAAATGTACAAGGAGAGAAACACCAAGGGTTCCGGAAGAGTAAGCGCCTTCTGCTTCGTCGCCATATAAATCTTAGTCAGTCCAGGTAAGTAATGTAACGTTCTCAGATGATGATAACTATGTATAAAGCAATGTAATTAACAAGTAAACTAGCGAGCATCAAACACGTTCAGCTTCACATCACACAAAGAAAAATAATATTTCTCAATGAGATCACTATGACGACCGTAAAACTTCCTCATCATTTTCTTCGACCTGCATCTTTTGAAACCCCGTGTTTCAAGTTTGTCGGTCAGTTGACGACTTCTTGCGCAAAATCGTTGTAATGGGAACAGGTCCATACAGATCTCACATGTCAGAACTACCATTGTGTAGCCATTTTTAATTATTGTTTTATTCTACATCTCTCAGAGTCTTTCCTACAACCATGAAATCAACAAAGACACTTCACTAAGTAATAAGACTAATATGATGGATTCGATTTCAAAAATGTGAACTTTCCATTTCTAGGTAGAAAACGCTGCTTCTTAACCGATTCGATATTCAAAAGTTTGTTCACAATAACACCATTTCAATCAAAACGTCGACAGCTGACAGACTGACAACACAAGACTGTGAGAGATGCTGGATTCGTTGTTGTCAATCTTGTTCTCATTTGAGAAGATTGTACAACAGTAACACGTGACAAAAGTGATTAACATCTTTAAATAAGATTTAGGATTAGATACAGAAGAGTCAATTTTACTTTACCATTGGTTATAAAGTATGATAAAAAAAAAGAATATTTAAGGCTTGAACTATTGGAGTTGACTTCCAGTTTCTTATTCATCATATGTAATGTGTCTGTATCATTATGCATTTATCTTTATGTCAATTGATATTTGAAGATTTAAAATGAACCGTGTGGATCTGCGTTAGATTTAACTGATGTCAAACATTCTTTATAATAAATACGTTATGACCGTGATCCTATAACACACACACATACACACACACACACACACACACACAAATTGAATGAATGGAGACACTCTTAATCGCTCACTCTGTTCACAAGTATTTTCTCTTCCGCTTTACTGTTATTGTGCTGTTGATAGCTTTATAACGATCGTGGATGTAGATGGTAGGGTAATTCCAATCTGTTTCCGCAAACACACACACACACACATATATATATAGCAATTCGATGTATAACTCGCACGCATGATGCACGTTCAGTAACGCGTGTTTGATATTGATCGTACAGTAACAGCACAATCGCAGATAAGTTCGAGTTAATTTCTTACTAGAGCTAGATAGCCATGGTGTGTATATATACAGTGAAATGTAACAGTAAACAAATACACAACAACATAAACGACTCTCACACAACTTTGTGTACTGTCAGTAACATTATACTCTAAATATATATACAATTTTAACAGAAAAATGCATTGTGGCTAGCCATCTTTTGTTAAAATTCATTTTTGCTTTGTGTAGACAATGACCAAGAAAATTTGAACAAAGTGTGGATGATATGATAAGGTTTCATAACAAATTTACAAAAACCTATAAACTGAACAAGTCGGGGAAAAGGAAACTTATCCTCAAAATCATTAGAAAACGAACAATTTCAATTTCGTTGAAGATTAAGTTGGTGTCTACCCGTTTCATTGTACAGTTTGTTGGGACAACAGATATCTGATTGGACATTTGTTCGTGAGCAATAATAAATGTGGTTTCCATGACAACTGAATACATGATGTCACAAACTAGAATAATTAGAACGGCATTAAGGCAACGTAAAGACGCATGGTTTTGTCTACCAGGAAGATATAAATGTCTTTGGTATTGGCACAAAACATTTACATTATATTCGGCCTGTTTTCCAGTGAATTCGGCCATAGAATACTTTTGCGTAAACAACACTAGTGTAATATACTGCTGTGGTGTCTTTCGTTGGCTGCGTCGGTAAGAAATCGTCACATCATGGATTAAAATTGGAGGTCATAGGTTAAAACTGGAGGAACAAAATGCCTGCCTCTGTTTCATTTTGTCCTCCAAATATTTACCTTAAAAGTTGTCATGATGTGAATTTTATGACAGTATTTATAAATTAGTTCTCTTTTCATTTAAAATTACGTATGTATGTGGGGGTTTACAGTAGTCACAATCATATCATTTAAAACGTCCTATTTCTTCGTGCGGTATGAAGCTGGGCGTGTTTGACACTCGTTAGTTTGCCTTTTGGTTCCGTTTTCGCTTACATTGTTCTCATTTGGGAACGTGACATTACTAACTTGGATTAATCAAGATCTGCATGGCGGGTGTTGTCGATGAAAGCGTTTAATCTTCCGGAACATCTGGTCTTATCCTTGTACTTTTGCCGTAGTTCTCTTGAATTTCAGTTTGAATTGAGAATGTGTTGACATGTCGATATTTTCTTAAATGTTTCTGATGTATTAGTAATAATTCTGCGAGTTTTATCAGAAAAGGAGGTTTAGTAAGTGGAAGCGGATCTTCTTACTAAGATATCGGAAGTTCGTTTGGTCGATCGGTCAGCTGGACGGCAGACGGACGTTTGGCGATTGGACAGAGGGATGAGTGACGACGAGGTAAAAATATGTGACATTAGCTTGCCTTCGGACAAGTGGCATAAAATGTTCACAAGTGGTAGACGTATGTACTTCACTATCATACTTCTTTATACGTGGTCATCGATGTGTACACTAATTACCATGATATCACGCCTGGACGATTTTCGCAAGCACAACAAAAGATAGGTGATAATAACACATAAATCATTTGCGTAATATAAATATAGTTTCACACGTGATAACGCCCGAGGGATACCGGAATACAGATACTTCTCATGGAAGAATGTAAGGTCAGATCATTGAAGCCACCTACACACTACACATTGTCAGTTTTTATATCGCTACGTTCCAACTCTATCATATATAATAACTATATGAGTCATAATATCAAAATTTTCCAGTCATAAATGACAAGGAAAAAAACAATTTCAATTCGTATATGAGAGTACACTATCCACACCTCTACTAGATATAGCTGGCGCGTGACCGGTGCACGAGTCCCTTGTTTCATAACCAGCCGGCCATAAGATCGAAAATCTAATGCAGAAATTTGTAAGAAAATTGCAAAACATATTTGTTATGTCATGTACTGGGTACTTAAATGACAGTGCACCATAGGCACACAGAGCGCGCTAACGGAAGATGGTATATATATGCCAGCAAATCTCCAGTCATTTACATTAACCATATATGCTATAGGAAGACAGTTAAATAGTTAAAGTTACTTGTGTTACAAACTGATGTTTTCATGTTAACAATACTGACGTCATAATGGTGACGTACTGAATGTCATTAAGGCACCTTATATCAATATCCTCAGTTTACATATCAATATCCTCTCAGTTTATAATGACGCGATGAACCAAGTTGATATGTTTCAGCTTTAAGCTTTGAGCTTTAATACATCTGAAGCCGATATAGAACATTTTACAACTCTGTGATGTGTTGCTAGAGACGTCTAAGAATGAAATATGATCGTATACAACGCCTTGTGCACGTACCATCGTTCTTTGATAGCATCGTCTGCTTCAATAAAAAACGTTTCATCTCTGAACATGATCAATGGGAATATATATATATATGTAGATCTACGCTTGCTCGTCGGTTGTCACCACCACGTTGTGGCCCAGTAAATATGTAGACAGTGATGTAGTTTGAGGGTACCAACGCCCGTCTCGGGTGGGGTCTGGGGCTGGTGAAAGATGAGGCTGAGTTAAGACGGTTAGGTGAACTATTAAAAGTAACGGGTCAACAGCAGCCGGGCTGAGGATGGTGCGATTGTTTACGGGGCACATCACACAACTCGGGGAAGTGTTGACTTTTGAGAGGGTTAGACACACTTGTTGATGTATCAAACACATGTGCATGTATAATTTGTGTAATGAATCACATACCTGTACAATCCCACACAGTGTAAGACCGGTGTATCGATGTCCAAGAACACCCGCTAACGTCTGTACATGTATCTTATATAATATCCGGGATCGAGCCACACAAGTATACACCGTACGCGTACACGCGTACCCGTACCCGTTGAGGAGATAGTACAGCTGGGACGTTGGTGCACGTGTGTGTCACCGACACTAAATATTTGTTCTGGTACATATGTGTCCGTTGACGGAGACGAGTACAGGTGTATGTACACAGACCATATACACGTACATACCGAAAAACCACTCAAGTGTGACAACAAAATATCGACAGCCAGTCATACACAGTGACCTCGTTGCGGTCACTGTTTTTAATGAGTCCGTACACTGTCATGAATTGTTTAGCCACTTTCTGATGAAAAATATCTGATAGTTCTCGTATACAGGGGACGGCTAATGTAGTGTACGCCAAGGTCAACGAAACGGGTCAGTTACAGTCTCTTGTTGGTGAAAGCGGATAGATAAATTCCTTGTTTGTAACGGGAACGAACAGCGAAAGGGCTTAATTTACAAAAAGAATAAAGGGATAGTCCACCCATGATGCAAAACGTCTGGCTATTCTGTACCTTTTAAGAACTAATTCTTATGACTTTTAAAATTACTGAATATCTCTCATGTAGTCAGTGTTATTGGACAGGCGAAATTAGTGGGAATATAAATTTAACCGTCTATATATATATATATAGCGCATCAGGAAATCCTGAACTAACGGTCACTGGATTATATATTTTATGCTGAATATTGAGTATATGCACAGGTGTGTGAGTTGTTCACTAAAGTTTCTGCTGGGCTTGTAATTTTATTACTTCATTTACCTTATTTTCTATAGATTTCATAATTTGTGCACAGATATCATTCTGTTCAACTGATATCAAGGCAGACCTGTTACAACGTAATTAGGACCGTGTGGGCGGTTGTTTATCAGTCTAACTAGATGTGTAAAGAATTTCTGCAAATTAAATATAAAATGTTATTTAAATGGAAAATTGAGGTGCAAGATTTCTGTAAGAGCATTAGAGGATAATTTAGAACAAATTTCTTGGAAAGCATCTCATGAAATCCAAACTGGTGTAGAATATCCCTAAAATCTAAGATATTGTCGGTGGAAACATTTAACACTATTAGATAAAATCACAATACAAATTGTCGTGTATGCTGAGAAAAAATCTCTCTCTTATTCTTTATTGATTGACGTATATTTTAGTAAAATTTCAGTAATGCATTTTTTGTGTCTTCAGAGAAAATAATATTTCTATATATAAGCTGAAAGTGGACTGAATGATTGTATAGGCAGCACGAGCAGAGTAGTCCATGGTACCTTGTCTTCAAAGTATATCAATACTCTCCAGTAGGTCGATATACTTAAGGCAATATTGATTTAGGCGTAACATGTTGATAAGTATATAAGGACATCTGTTCAATGTCAATTTAACTGATTCACACTATCTTTATCCTTACAGTTTCTGTAGATACTAGCGCTGAAGTCTGTGTGTCACCACTACGTTAAATATTTTCTCTTGGTGTTGTGAGTATGCAGAGTACTGTTGTCTTATGCTCTTGGTTAAGGCAGAGAATAAGTGAATTACAAAAAGTTCCATATTTGAAATTCTATTAATTTTTTCTTTAAATTTGTTGAATTTTGTTTTTGTTTTGTTTTGTTTCACGGAACGTATGGATTCCTCAGTAAACACGATGTTCTCTTTAATTCGAGTTATTTCCCTTTGTCTATATCATAATATTATGACATAAGACTGCATTTCTGGGCTGAGAATTGTCGAACAAACATAACAAAACATATCCTCCACACACTGACAGTGCGTCCGGTTCATTTACTTAAATATGTGTTTATTTTATTGACCTGCTGTTCATGCAGATAGCCCGGAACCACTGCCTCGCGCGTTTTGACGAATTTTATTAGAGGGATATTCCGCACAAGTTATGATTTCATAAGATAAACGTTTGATACATAATTTGCGGAACTTCTCAATAGATCAAGCTAGATCGACTTACAAACGTTCGCGTGGCCCAGATTGCGTTATAACAGATTTGCGTTGTTATAAGCTCAACGGAATAAAACATATTTGTATAAAAAAACGTGAATTCAACAGAAAATAAACCTAATGAAGTAATAAAATTGTAACCCCAGAAGAAAATTTAGTGAACGGCATACACACTTATTTACTCAATATTCTGCATAAAATTATGATCTAGTGATCTGTCAGTTCAGGATTTCCTGATGCGCTATATCTAAAAATTATCTTGGCAGTGGCTATTCCCACTAATTTCTCCTGTCCAAACTGACCACCACAAAGAGAGAACGTTTGATACTAACAATAGTTTTATTATTGGTCATTAAAATGGGTTATTCTTAGGTATAGAACTGCCAGAAATTTTGCAACTTGGGAGGACTATCCCTTTTAATATTAAAGTATACTTATTTACACCTCTGATACATATTGAAATACCCGTAGTTAATGTTAAAGTAAATCAGAAGGAATTTTTCCATTTTAAGTTAAAACTTGGTTTGAACATAATTTTGAAGATATTTACGTTTGGAGAGATTAAACATCGTTTGACAGACTGTTCAACAACCTGAATGCTGAAGTTATTTGCCAAGACAAGTTTTTGTGTTCTCCGTTTGAAGAATTTTCTGTACTTTGTCCTAATTTCTACTGCCAGTGCTTTTATGAAAATTTGCACAATATCTACCTCTCCGTAATCTTTAAACATCAATATTAAATCCTCTTTCTCTCGTCTGTATTCTAGGAATGAATCCTAATTTTTAGGGACTTTCTAAGTGTGTTTCAGACTTGACACCAATCTTGTTGTCCTGCATTGAACATTTCAATAGCAATTTTGTCCTTTTTTTTTTCTTTTTTCTTCTTCTTCAAATTCGATGACCAAATAACGAAAGAGAATCCAATTGAGGCCTTTCTGATGTTAGTCGATGTACCTGAAGGTCCAGAATAGAAGCCTCAGATTTTTGTGTTTGAGATTGCATCAGAAATGTGATTATTGACTTTTTATAGCATTGACCATCTAACACCAAATGAGAGCTTAGCTTTAAAATATGTCCGATTTTCGGGAGTTACTTCCCTTAGTCTGAATCATGAAGGACAAAACATACATATTAAATAACATTCTGTTTCTCTATCATACGAATGTTTTATCATCTTACTTTGATGTTGTAAATTCATATTTGATCATAATTGGAAGATAGTGAAGAATAAATTTTCGATCACACCTGAGATAATTTACCTGTAATTACCTCAAATATCGCTTATCTTTTTTCACACTGACGTTTCTCATTTAAGCGTCACGGTCTGATTGCCAACGTGGATCGGCATTTTAATCCATAAAAATGGCGGACCACCTTTTGTTGTAGTGTTGCCATGACGGATATAAACAAGCGATCCCCCGACAAATTCATACACAAGCCGTATGCGTAGTACACATATTCAACACTCGATTTCCAATACATGAAAATGCTTTATAATAAAAGTGAATAGCAGGCAGTGTAAGCTGATCTGTGACCCCAGAGCTAGGGCCGCACAGGCCATCGGAACGTCCGGTATATACTGGAGAATATATCATATTACAAGGAGAATTCCGCATAATATTCTGAAAGCCTACGCCTAAACAAAGGTAAACAAAGAATACTTGTTTTCAGTGCACCGGTCAGGTGTATGTATGGGACCCACTCACCTGGTTACCTGGACATTGTAATACAAGGTGTTTATTTCATGGTTTTGGATTATTTGATATAATTTTGACAGCCCAGGTGAGTGTATATATATTATTTGCAAATACAAATATTAAACATTATATTATATATTATTGACGGAAATGCTACTATATTATATATATATATTATTGGTATACATGTATTGGTATCAGAACCAGGTCGATGTGTGTTTGAATATAAGCAATAACTGTTGATCCGTTATCAGTGATAATGCGATTTTAATGATATATTTTCATGATCGTTATTGTAAACGTTTAAATACATTCATTCGATAGATCGATAAAATTCTGTCACGATTTTCACTAATTTTGTGTACCTACATGTATAATATGTAATGCACTCACGCACAAACATAGACGTACGCGTGAAAATTGGTATGAAATGATCTTAGTACTGAGCTCACTGAGGCGTTGTCTGTCTCCCGGGGTATGGTACGCCTTCTCAACTTCATACTGTAAAACGTATCTCTATAAAAGTTACTGAATTATCCATGTATCATCAGTAGTTAGTTTTTTTATCTAGTTACTTTTGTTTACAAACAACACGTCATTTCGTTCATTCTGAGAAATTTTACTCGGTGTAACATCATACATGGACGAATCGTCGTTGAACCCTTATCGAATTAGCTTCCTTCTTCAAAACTTGAAGGCTTTTAGGTAAAATCGCATTCCTTTAAAACATCTGTCGAATAAAAGTCGTTACTCTCGTGGTCACTTGGTCAGTTTACGGCTTACACCACCGGAGAGTTTTGTTTTAAATGGTAGATGATATTAATCTTATTTCAATATTGTATTTGATTTAACGTAAATGATCAGAGACTCATCTGTACGATAATGCTTACTTCTTTTTGATAAGTTTCATTTGTACTTGTACGTAATCACGCGTACCTGATATTGTCGCATTAGTCGAGGAGGTTAAGTAAGGGTAACGTAGTCAACTTCGTATATTAAAGGGTATGGAAACAAACTCTGTTTTACGTTTTTCAGAGGGATGGGGGTGGGGTGGGGGGAGGAGGTGGTGGGGAGAGAGCATGGAATGGAGCATGTGAAATGAAAAGAAAATGTCAAGAAAACACACAGAAATGGGTCTCTCACCCAATGCACGTGGAAAACTAAGGACTAGAGGAGAAGGTAGGACTGAAGACTGGAGGGAAAGGTAAGACCATGGACAAGAGGGGAAGGTGGGACAAAGGACTCGAGGGGAAGATGGGACTAAGGACTTGAGGGGAGGGTGAGACTATGGACTAGAGGGGATGGTGGGACAAAGGACTCGAGGGGCAGATGGGACTAAGGACTTGAGGGGAGGGTGATACTATGGACTGGAGGGGAAGAT